GTTAGGCTAGAGATTGATCGTTTCAAAAACTTCTATAACAAGTGAATCAACGATAATGTGGAAATAGGCAAAAGATGTATAGTATACGTTTTTCTCAAAAACCTAGCAAAATCTCAATACAAATAATAGTCGACTATCACAATCTAGAGTTTATCATGCATTCACATCAAATTACGAGTAGTTACAAAATTACATCTGCTTACCTCCAATATCTACCACACACTTCTAGAATGTCCCAAACCCTCTGCACGTGACGGGGACGTGCATGAAGTTTAACGACCTTCAACACGTACAGTGACCTTGGTTCAAACCTGTTTTGTTTCCTGAGCCAGACCGATGAAGGTCATGCCATATTTGTATCTAAAGTCATGCCATATTTGTAGCTTCGACAAGAGCAGACGACAGCTTTGTTTGTGCAGACTTTTGTCTGGGCTTCAAGTGTGCTTGTCGTCTAACTCGACTTTTTTGTATTAAAACAATTATATCCATCTCTTTATAGAAGCAGAAAACACTTGTCTTAAGCAAAATATGGAAAACCTTTTTTTTTTTAAAATATGATTTTAACTTGACGTATTAAAAAATAAATTTTGATACCTTTAAAAAGTAAAACAGAATAAACACAACAATAATGGAGAATGATTTTTATATATTTTGAATAATCTTCATACTAAACCAGGCCACAATAAGATGAGACAACATTAGCTTTAAAACACTAAGGTGAGTCCCTACAAAATAGGTCCTTGTGGTATGGCTCCGAATAAAAAACCAAGACAGACTTCTGTACCACAAGACCTAGTTTAGACTCTCGCCATAGACACTCAGAGGAAATTTGATGAAATGTACATGGCATGGTGAAGGGGGCTTGTTAAAATGTAGAACACTCTTTGTGATATTGAACTTAAACAATCTGCTTGTGTATACATAATTAAAAAGAAGAGAAGCTTAGTTAAGTATCGCCTTTAGTAGTCTTAGCGCGTGGAAAATGATATTGAGAATATTAAACGTTCAGTTTGTTTTTCACACGTTCATCATCATCATCTTTTCCCGTCCGTTCGTGCCCAAGACAAATAGGGTAGGTGAAGTAGAGCTCATCTGTTTCAGGGACCTCGGCATATGAAAAGATAGTGTTGTCAGCACTTTGCTCAGCCGCCTTTACTTTCCATAACTTGAGTTAGGTACCCATCAGAGCTCGGGTGGAGTCAGGGGCGTTCTACTGACTATAACCCGGATTCGAACTCTAGACTTTCGGGTTGGCAGCCTAGCTCTCTACTGCTAGGTCACGCGTACATTTTATTCACCTGTTACATCAGTATATTTTAGATTTTGTTAGTCTAAAAAGTTTACATTATTTCATCACCTTTCATAAGGGGGGGGGGGGGGGGTCTGAAACTCCATATACTCGCAGAGTAAAATTATCTCTGCTAATATTGAAGAAAATAATTAAAATTCTAATTTTTCTTCGTTAGCGTCATTGAATTAATGATTAATCAGATTTACATTTAATACTGCAAGTTAGAATCAAATGAATTTACGGTTTAATTATAATTTGTCATCGTCTCTTATTAATAGTTTTATTTATTTCCATTTTGCTCAGTGCATTAAATTAATTGCCGGTTGAAGCTTGTATTTCGAATATAAAATTTCAATTTTAATTATTGTCTAATTGACGTTTTATAAATTAATTACTGAAAGATGTGTAATCTGACGTTAAGGTTTATTTAATTATAATTGATCTATTTTGTTACGCTGACGTCATTCGTTATATACCCGATATTCATTAATTAAATCAAACTAAAAAAACAGATTTGTCCAAACTTTTTTTTTAGTTATACATGCGTTATTTCGCCCAATACACAAATACTTTTTTGGTAACGATACATTAATTAGTTTTTACGACAAAATAATTTCCTTTAAAACAATGGTTCTTAATCTTTTTGGAGGTACCGAACCCAATCCGTTTTCAAAAGCGCAATCTTCTAACCGTTCTTAATAGCTCCATCACTTGACAAAACCCTATTGTGAATCATTTGAAATGAGTGTGTCTTAACCTCTATCGAACCCTTGAGAGTGACTAACCGAACCCGTGGGGTTCTATTGAACCCAGGTTGAGAACCACTGCTCTAAAATATAGCCAATCTGTACCGACACTTGATGATGAAGGATGGAGAATCGTAAGCAACCGCGAGATGTATTAAAAACACATAACTTGACAATAGTGGCAAATACAAAAAACTTGACAATAGTGAGAAACACAAAACTTGACAATAGTGGCAAACACAAAAACTTGACAATAGTGGTAAACACAAAACTTGACAATAGTGGTAAACACAAAAACGCGACAATAGTGGTAAACACAAAAACGTGACAATAGTGGAAACACAAAACTTGACAATAGTAGGAAACACAAAACTTGACAATAGTCGGAAACACAAAACTTGACAATAGTGGGAAACACAAAAACTTGACAATAGGTGCAAACACTGAAAGACGGACGCCTGTGGTGGTTAGGTTCTCTGTGTAAAAAATGTTAAGTCGTACCTGAGTGAAAGGTGACTGTTATGAAGTCATCAGTATGGTTGGTATAATTTGATATCGTTGACGACTGCAGTGAGGGTTGATGTGTTAAGGCAACAGTTTAAGTCATGAATTGAATGAGTAACACTAACACACGTACAATTTTAAGACTTTTAATACACTTGAGTAGTGGATATAAACTAGCACAGAGTTCTGCCACGGAGCACATGACACACACTTCCACACGACAACAAGCCTAGCATCCAACTAACTTAATTCACGCGGCCCCAACTTCACCCTAAGGTAACCCAACCCCAGCAGTCCCGCGAGGGGCGGGTGCTTTACCTCCTTACCTGTTCATGTATTAACTCGAACTTTTTACGACTGGGACAACTACAGGCTATTCTGACTTGTATCTAGTAAGGGGACGTACAATCAAATACACTAAGGACTAATCCTATTACAGCTATTATGATCTATCTAATCTACAATTAAACAATATAATAGTGTTGACATAAATACTATTAAGATTTAAACGATATTCTATCCCAGTTTTCTATCCTATGCTAATCCCAGTTCTAACAGTGACTTAAGGCTGAAACCACCAAATGACAGATCTAGGCTATATTGATCGATAAAGTGCAGACAGATCTACGGAATGGATGAACACAGTACTCTCCACGTCCTTATAATGGGTTGAAGATGGTATACTATGTGATTTACTATGTATTTACTTTCCCCAACATAAGTCTGGTACCCATCAGAGCGGGGCGAACTCAGGGACGTCCTTCAATGACAATTCCTAACCGAGATTCGAACTCGAGACCCCCGGGCTAACATACAAAAACTGTACCCTTCGACCGCGTCGTACTTCATCTCTAATCACTGAATTCATTGCATTACTAAACCCTCATCAAAATCAATTGGTAAAAAAAATAATTATATCTGCGTTTCGACTGAGCATTGTTAACTGAACCAATCTTTAGCCTATCACTCTCTACCTTTTAAGAGTAAACATAAAACCCGCCTTTTAATCTCAACCCACAATCTCCCCCCCCCCCCCCCAACCACCTCTCATTGTTTTGTTCAGCCACTGTTTCCCTTGTTCCGCCTTGTCCTGTTCCTATTTTTTAATTTTCTGCATTCGTCTCTGCTTATCGCCATGGGAAACTGTATTCGCCTAGACATTAAAATCCTGGTCAAGTGTAATCAACGGTTGCCGGTTGCCCTGTGTGTCGCTTAGCTTTCATTTCCGGTTGGGCTACCACGTGACCGGTTGAAAGCCTCGATTTGAGAAATCATCTTGAGTGTTGTAGAAAGCGGAGACTTGGAAGGCAAATGAGAAAAGCACCATCGAAAACACAAGAGTTTTATTTTGATTTTGTAAAAATATGGCCAGTTCAGTATATGGAAAAAAAATACAATATTATGTTTACAGAATCTTAAAGTTCTTTATGTGTCAAATTCCAGGAAGTGTATTTACTTTTTTATTTTTGAATTCATTTTAAACTAAGAAACATATTTTTTTTAAAATTACTATTAATATTAAATTGAAGCTTTACCTTATTTTCAAAACGTGTATTTTTAAATTATCTTGCCCTGCATATTCTTTAGTCTAAGATTTTATACTTTTTTTTTACTAAAAACAGTTCTTTAATTTCTTTCTGTTTGAAGTTTTATGATTTACTTGGTTCTAGAAAACATTTCAATCTTCGTTACACTCTACTTAATCATCAACGTAATCTCACTTTGTATGCAGTTTATGACATGCACAAAACAACATTTAAATTTAAGGTTCTCCAAATTGAAAAGAGAATTTTGAGAATTTTAAAAGTTCATACGAAAAAACAAGTAAATTAAAACGTAAAAATTCTTAACAAAAAAAATTATTAAATAGATTGAATATCCGTTGAATAAACATGAAAATATCCTTATGAATGCATTACAAGTAAACACGCCCTTTGAAATAGTTAGCAAAAGCAAATGTTTTGAACAAAGCTTTCTGTCATTTTCAGAAATTCACTGCCGAAATATAAAAGGCAGCAAAGGGAAAATAGAACTGAAAACATTTCGAGTTTTGGTCAATATTATGTGATTATTACCAGATTAAGCTGAAATCTCGTATTTTTCCCTAAGAAAAATATTCGCTACAAACGGTAAAAATCCGAAGCGAAAACAAATTCTGATGTTTGCATTTAATAAGGTCCTTTTTCTTCGAGTGCGATGTAAAATAAGGGGTTTATGATTTTGGGGGAAAAGGATTCTTTTGTAGTCCGCGGTAAAACTGGATGTTGTGTGGAGTTGGTTGTTTAACTGGGCTTTGTTGCGATGTGGTGGATTTTTTGTTATGGCAAAAGTTAGGTATGGGTTGTTTTAAGGTTTGGATTACGGTGAGCGTGGCAGATTTTGTGGTGGTTTTAGGCTTGAAATTGGGTTTCGCGTTATGGTTTTATGTTTTCGTGGGATTTAAAGTTTTATAGTTTTCGATGTTTGCCCGCAAGAAGATTGCTCTGACGCATTTTGCCCAAGGGCTCTTTTCCAGAATGGGACAAGTGCTCAAATGGGACAACTGTCAGAATGGAACAGCTGCCCGAATGGGATTAGTGCACAAATGGAACAAGTGCCCGTATGTAACAAGTGACCAAATGGGACAAGTGCCCAAATGGGACAACTGTCAGAATGGAACAAATGCCCGGATTATTGTTTGCTCATAAGAGAATTGCCATACAACAAAGCCACTCTCAAGAATTTGATTGTCCCAAACGACAATGCGACAATTATAAATAAATTAAAGATGTTATGTGATTTATGGCTATGTTTAGATGTAATGGGATGCATGGTGTTGTATTAAGGAAGTGTTATTGTATATTAGAAATTGTAAAAATACCACATGCTATTTAGGTTTCAGTGTAGTTTTACATTTAATAGCTTGGGATTTCTTATATGACTTAATGTCTTTTATTGGGCTAGGTTTTATGGGCGTAAGTTTGTGTTGTGGTTGTCGTAAACTGTAAATGTTGTATACGTTTCTAGTCAGCTGCTTATACATTACAGTTGTTATATTTCGTGGGAATCAATCGAAGTGCTCTATTCGTCTCATGTGATAACCTTGTTTAATGCTTGAATGTTTTTAATAGTTGGTCTACGCAATCTAGTGTTAGGTTTGGGTTTGTTATTTTGACTTTAATATTCTGAATGACTTATAATGTGTTAGGATTTGAATTTTCGTCTTCATGATAAACATATATTTTTATACTTGTGATGGTGAAGAACGATGTATCGTTTTTTATGGTTTTTTTTATAAAGCGTTGTAATTAGATGCATTTTCTATTTTCTATTTTTTAATGCTCTTATGCGCTTTTATATCTTTTGTAATATTTATATGTATATTAAACAGTTAGGAATTGTCTGATCATCTAGGACGCATGATAGTTGTAAAAAAGTTTAATACTATAGATAAATGACACTCTAACCGCTTTGTAATCGTAAAAAAAGATGTTATTGCAAGAATAGCTAACTCGTACAAACCTTAACAACAAAGGCCAATTCTTCTAAACTGTTCCCATCAACTGAATGTGGGTGTTTGTGTGAGCTCTATATTACAACAATTATGACGTCATGAGAACTGAAGAATGGAAATTTATGAGTTTGACATTTATAATTCAATAAAAAAACTAAAGTAGTAAAGTTTCCTTTTCGAACCTGACGGTCGATGGGGCTAGTGAAGTAGAGTTCACATGTTTCTGTGACCTTGGTATATGTCGGTGTGTTTCCAGCTATGCAGATACGGTTATTAATGTCAATATGGGGGTAATGCAAGTGATGTATGAGACTATAGCTCGGGAAATACAGGCATCAACTTTTTTGACTAAAAGTGACTATGGGGGTAAAAGTAAAGTAAAGTTTACCTTTCAAACCTGACGGTCTATGGGGCAAGTGAAGTAGAATTACATGACCTCGGCATATGAAGAGATAGTGTGGTCAGCACTATGCCCAGCCGTTACTTTCCCTAACGTGAGTTAGGTACCCATCAAAGTTGGGTGGACTCAGGGACGGTCTAGTGACTTTAACCCGGATTCGAACTCGAGACTTACGGGTTAGCAGTCCATTAAATCATGTGAATCTAAGATACACTTTACAATGTAAATAACTCATAGAGACCATGGAGGCACATCCGTTACAGTGTGTAAATCTAAAAGACTATTAAAAAAACAGATACCAGCTTGTGTGACCTTAAGAAACTATAGATATATAGCCATGATATTCTTGGAATGATAACAGTTGAGTTAACAACACGTTAGCTGTTAACGGCTTGTGCTGAAGGTTGACCATATCAAATATTACAAGAAATGTTCGTGTTCTCAAGCTAATTACTTCCCTTGAGTGGATAGCCTTCTCTTATTGTTTAAAACACGAGAAATGCTGTATTTATTTATAGACAGTTCGTGAGTTGTTTATAGTTTTGTATGCCATGCATGTCACGTTTTTGGAATGTCCTTTGCTTGATGAAATGTACAGATGGTTTGAATTGTCTTACCAATGTTCGAGAAAATACCTTTTGAATAAAGTGGTCGAAATAAAGCAATATACAATTTTAACAATATGTAACGATGTAACAGGCGAAAGTAATTTATTTATTATTTAGAAGCGAAATGGGTACAAAAGAATAATGAAGATCATGATGAACATAGTGATGACAACGTCTACGACGACGATGATGACGATAATGAGGAGAAAGAGGAAGATGACGATTATGATGATGAGGAGGATCATGATGAAGATAATGACGATGATTGTAATGTTGATAATGAAGATGATTAGGATGAGAATGATGATGAAGATGATGACAACGACGACGACGACCATGATGATGATGATAGAGATGATCTGAATGAGGATGAAGATGCTGATGAGAGTAAGGATGATGATGATGATAAGGAGGACCATGATGAAGATAATGACAATGTTTAGAATTGTTGATAATGCAGATGATTAGGATGAGGATGATGATGACGACGACGATTATGATGATGGAGATGATTAGGATGAGGATGAAGATGATAATGACAATAAGGATGATAAGATAAGAAAAATGATGTTGATGCGGATGATAATGATAATGACGACGATAATGATAATTTTCTAGTAAGAGGAAGACCTCCATCTATTGCATATATCAACAGTAAGTTTAGAAGCAATAATTCCTTCCAAACAATGTATGCAATAGCACCATACCACGTTATATTGCTTCGTCGTGCTACATTACTTTAACATACATCATAAATGAAACGTTACACAAAAATACTCCCACGCTACAAATTATTCTACATTTATACCTCGTTAACAAGCGGCTAACGCCCACTTTTCTTTAAACAAGTTCACAAGGAAACATCCCCCTCATGAACACATCTACCCACCACCTCACCCCCCTCTTAAACAACCCCTCATCAACACACCACGTCTACCTCTATCCTCTACCCTCCACCTCACACCCCCCCCCCCTTAAACCACCCCTCATAAACACACCACTTCTACCTCTACCCTCTACCCTCCACCTCACACCCCCCTTACACCACCCCTCATTAACACACCACGTCTATCGCTACCTACAACCTCACACACCCCTTACACCACCTCTCATCAACACACCACGTCTACCTCTACCCTCCACCTCACCCCCCCCCCCTTCACCCCTCATTAACACACCACGTCTATCGCTACCTACAACCTCACACACCCCTTACACCACCTCTCATCAACACACTACGTCTACCTCTACCCACAACCTCACTCCCCCCCCCCCCTTTTTTTTTTACACACATCATTATCACATTTTTCATCAATCCTAAGCCCTATACCAAAAAAAAATGAAAGACCATCTCAAAAAAGCATGTTAATATGTATACATTAGCAAAAGACGTCGTGTTGATGCATATAATGATCCACTGACGCCATTAATACATGGATAATGTGGTGTCAGGTGGGCATTAATCCGTCACGCGATGATAATTATAAACAATCGAAATGCTACAAAATGGAAAGAGAGAGCAATAAAATGGAGTTGTTCCCCCGTATAGCTGAGTAAATCTCTTTTATTGAATGAATATTTGATGAGGCGGATGTTTCAATGAGGTTTTTTTTAATACTTGAGTTTTTTTAAGCTTGTAAAATTGATGTTTTTTTTTCGCGAAGAATTCTTCACCTTATCTTCTGGAAGACAATTCTAGAAGTTCATTTAAATTGTCTTTTTCAAGTCTTTATGTATATCGTACATTTAAAAAAAATATACTTTAAAATGGATTAAGTCGTTTTTTTTGTGCGTGTTCATTTACAGTGTTATGACTATTGCCGACAAATTATTGACAACGCACCAGACAGTCAAATTGTGGTTGTAAAATTTTCAGTTTAGCCTGTGTGGTTGTTACTGCTAGGTCTCTCTACTAGACAACACTACACTGCATTCAAACTTTGGCTGTCCTATATGCACTTCTCATTTATTTATTTTTTGCCAATAGTTGTAGAAGTTTGGAAACAAAAAAAGCTTACATTCTATTGGTATAATTACACCAGATTTCTACACACTTCTCCTTTATTTATGTGTTGTCAACAGTCCTAACAGTTTAAAAATGTACAGTCTAATGAATTATGTACACTTCTCTTTTTGTTGTGTTTTTAACAGTTCTAGCAGTTAAAAAAAAAACATACATTCCGTAGGATTTAGTAGTCGAGAATTCTACACACATCTCCTTTATTTATTTATTGTCAACAGTCTTGGCAGTTTTAAAAAAACCTACATTCTAATGTACTAAGTACAACTAGAGATCTACACACTTTTCCTTTATTTTTGGTGATGTCATCAGCTCTAGCAGTTTAAAAAAAAATACATTCTAATGTATCAAGTACACCTATAGTTCTAGAAACTTCCCATTTATATGTGTGTTTGGCAACCGTTCTAGCAGTTTAAAAAAAACCTACATTCTAATGTCCTAAGTACACCAAGAGTTCTACAAACTGCCCCTTTATATGTGTTTGGCAACCGTTCTAGCAGTAAAAAAAAAACATACATTCTAATGTACTAAGTACACCAAGAGTTCTACAAACTTCCCTTTTATATGTGTGTTGGCAACAGTTCTAGCAGTTAAAAAAACCTACATTCTAATGTACTAAGTACACCTAGAGCTCAACACACTATTTTTTGTGTTGTTAACAGTTCTAGCAGTTAAAAAAACCTACACTCTAATGTACTAAGTACACCTAGAGTTCTACACCAACACCGCTGGCTGACACATCTCCTCGAGTTATTGGTGAAAGCTTTTAACTAGCACCGGCTGATGCCAGTCGTCTTCCGTGGTGCCAAGAGCCCAAAGTCTTCAAGCTTGCTTTCTGAGTTTTATTGCTGGGCACTTTCGAGTACCAATAATGCGCCTTGGCGATACCGCGCCGTGGAAGCAGTGGACCGTTGTTAACGTGGGAATCGATTCCTCTCGTCGGTAGATCACAGAAATAATTACAACTTGTGGGTAACAGCCATATAGAATTAACATTTGGAGAAAGTGAGTCTGATTTTAAAGTAGAAAAATTTAATACTACCTCTTAAAATAATTACACATTTAGGAAGGTAGACTTAGTATTAGGCTACATTAAGTTTAACAAGTAAATGTAAAAATCTTTGAAATGCTGGTTGCAGTTAGACCAAGTAGATAAATAAGTAAAGTTCCCTTTCAAACCTGACGGTCTAAGGGGTAAGCGAAGTAGTGTTCACTTGTTTCTGTGACCTCTGCATATGAAGATATAGTGTGGTTAACACTATGCTCAGCCGCCTTTACTTTCCCTAACAGGAGTTAGGTACCCTTCAGAGTTGGGTGGACTCAGGGACAGTCTACGGACTAGAACCCGGATTCGAACTCGAGACTTACGAGTAGTCTTATAAATATTCTTTTTAAAGCAGTAAAAGAAAACACTACAATATCTGGTATTGATAATAAACTTAAATGAAATAAATGAAGGGTGGGTATCGGTGTTGATGTATAAACATTTCAAAAATACATGTATATTTTTCTAAGTGAATAAATAAAGGATTTAGTTATATTTCATAGATTAGAAGTAGCGTGTATCTCCTTCTGTGACCTCAGTTCAAGAAAGTATTATGTTGCCAACACTATAAATAGACCATTTTACTTTCTCAAGCTGAAATTAAAACTGAATTCCCTCGAAGAGGACAAATGATAAGGAGCGTGGGAACTGACGTCACGTTTTCCGGGTAAGTATATAGGGGCCTATATATATATATATATATATATATATATATATATATATATATATATATATATATATATATATATAATACTTAATTAGAAATGCAGTGGTTTCTGTTAAATTTTTATTTTGGTCTCATGCGACCTAAAAATGTTTGGATAGAAATCGATTCTAAACAAAAGAATGAATCAGCTCCACGTGTGGTATCGCACACGCTGGTATCGATATCTCCAACCACATTTTTAAAGCGAATCTACGATTACCGGGATATTTTATTTGCTTTTTAGGGATAATCCGAACCGGACCGAACGCCGGCGGGGGGACAAGCCGGAAGCCGGTGGACTGGGGGGTTGTTTGAGGAGAAATTACGTGCAAGTGTTGGACTGTAACAAGGTAGAGGCGAGGCCGGGTCCGGCTTCGATACCGGCTAAATGGATTCGAGAGCTGTAAATAAGGTTTTGGTCCGTCAGCTCTTAACGACACAGATGAATCAAGAGGCGGGGGTGGGGAGGTTGGGGTGGGGTGAGGTTAGAGGGAGTTAGGGGAAATGGGGGTGTGTTAATGTGTTAGTTGTTGATAGTGTGGTAGAAGATGCCTTGCGTGAATTCAAATAGTAAAAAAAACTGAAAACAGTGAAGCATGCTAAAATAAAAAATGTAATCGATGATTTAGTATCGTGGGAGGGGGTGACGTGGGAGGGGGTGTCGAGAGAGGGGGCGTCGTGGGAGGGGGTGTCGTGGGAGGGGGTGTCGTGGGAGGGGGTATAGTGGGAGAGGGTGTCGTGGGAGGGGGTATAGTGGGAGGGGATGTCGTGGGAGGGGATGTCGTGGGAGGGGGTATAGTGGGAGAGGGTGTCGTGGGAGGGGGTATAGTGGGAGGGGGTGTCGTGGGAGGGGGTGTCGTGGGAGGCGGTGTCGTGGGAGGCGGTGTCGTGGGAGGGGGTGTCGTGGGAGGGGATGTCGTGGGAGGGTATGTCGTGGGAGGGGATGTCGTGGGAGGGTATGTCGTGGGAGGGGGTGTCGTGGGAGCGGATGTCATGGGAGGGGGATGTCGAGGGAGGGAGATTCGTTTGAGAGAGATTCGTGGGAGGGGATGTCGTGGGAGGGGGTGTCGTGGGAGGGGGATTCGTGGGAGGGGATGTCGAGGGAGGGGGATTCGTGGGAGGGGATGACGAGGGAAGGTAATTCGTGGGAGGGGATTACGAGGGAAGGTAATTCGTGGGAGGGGATGAGGTGGGAGGGGATGAGGTGGGAAGGGATGAGGTGGGAGGGGGTGTCGTGGGAGGGGATGAGGTGAGAGGGGATGAGGTGGGGCTGCGAGAGTTGGTTCACTTAAAGTAGCAGACGAACTCTACTTTATCTGTTCTATCGGCCATCAGGTTTTAGATTCATCAAACAAGCCATTACGTTACACACACGCCGTCCAAAACGTATATATATATATATATATGTAACTAGGGGAAGTTACCAAGAGACATAACGTGTTACAGTCTGACGTCACAGTGCAGGTGTTGGCTGATAACGATCAGAAAGCCAAGGCGTAATATCTCGGGAAGCGATAAGAAAGACGGTCTGTCAACTTTGATGTGACAGGATGCAGATGGCTTATTAAATCGGACTGTACGACAGAAGCGGCGTAATTAACATTCTGACGTAACGATTAGAATCGATTACAATTACGATTATGATAGAACCGGATACGACTACGGATACGAG